GAGGTCAGCAAACTGAGGGCCGGGGTCAAGTCCAGCCACACTCATCTGCTTGGATGTTGTCTGGGCCTCTTTCGTGCTACAGTGACAGGGTTGAGTAGATGCAACAGAGACCACATGGCTGCAAAGCTTGTGGTGCTTAAGATTTACCCCTTTACAGAAAAACTGTAAAGTTCTTACCTACTTCCTGTCCACACACTGAGCTTGAAACGCCTGCGCTGTGAGAGCATGGCATTTAGGTAAATTTCTAATGCTCCTTAGTCGGCTAATCACAGAGTTCTCTCTACTGTCCTTGCCAGATTTGCATCGTGCAATTAACATCCACAGCTGAGCGTGTGAAGATTGGCTACTTGGTTCAGAATCCGCAGCCCCTTGACCAGCAGGAGAGCGACAGGAGTCTTTGGCGACCAGGTGGCTTGTTGCAGTCACAGAATGTGTTTCAATAGGAATTATTTTTACTTTTTATGGTTTTTATGGAGCAATAACTATGCTCTGTTTTCAATGTAGACTCTCCGTACTTAACCCAAGATGAGGGAGATACTCAGGGACAATTAGACAGAATACAGAAGTCAGGAGACGTTCAAAACAGACACAACCCATGACTCCCTACATTACAATTAATGTTAAGTTCTTCTTTTATGTTAAGAAACGGTCTAGGGATTTAAAAGAAAAGGCATTTAAAGGATGCCTGAGAACGGGTGACGTGTGCAGGCACTGAGAACCCGCAAGGGCATGGCCAGCACACCGACGGGGTGCTCCGAGCAGGAGCTCCTCCCCGCTGGGAGCAGGGGGCCGGGTGCTCGCCCAGCCCTGCATGTCTTTCTCCTTCAAGAAAGTCAACCTGTCTCGTTAACAGTGACCAGCAACTGTGATCTGCCTGCCCCACCTTTCTTGAAAATGCAGTATGATTATTTGAGAATGTTTGCCTAAGGACAAACATTTTTTCTAACAGGATATTTTGTACAGTGGGTTTACTAGAATGATCAGCTACTGCACAAACTAGAATTTTTCTTAATTTGCCAAATTCAAAAAATGGGTTCAATTTGTAGCTGGTCGTAGAACAACTGGTAGGTTTCAATTCAAAAAGTCAGAAGTCTTTTCGGGTAAAGTTACTCTTCAGCTCCTCTGGGAACCTCCAGAACCGGGAGGCAGACAGGCAGCGTGAGCGGCGAGGAAGAGAACGTGGTCCTGGTGGAATTAAGGTATAAAGTAGGTACTAGAGAAAAAAGCCTCCTGGAAAGGTACACCCCCATATTAGTTGTTGTTTGGCACCGTTTGATGGGTCCTAGACCCCGTGGGCGGACTCACTTCAGCCCCGAGGGGGTGGCTGTGGCCTCGCTTGGATTGCAGCAGTTCTGACATGGAGGACAGGCTTCCATCGGATGTCCCCTCCGGCCGGGGGAGTCAGGCAGGCCTGCGGCTAGTCCAGGCCTTCCCCAGGTACTGCACATTCTCTTGGACAGACACCTGACTCTCTCTGAGGCTCACTTTCCTTATCTTTCGAAGAGGGATAATTATAGCTCCTGCCTTGTGGACTGTTATTGGGATATCATGATATGACCATAAATATGTCAAATACATAACCCAGTGCTCTTTATAAGAAGCTCTTCAGTAAAGGCCAGAGGCTCTATTGTGAATAGAGGTGATATTTAAGAACAATTCATCAAATAGACTGGTGAGATCAAGTCTGACGCATCTGCCCTTACGGCTCCGCATGGGCCTCTGTGCTGCTGGAAGGGAGATGCCTGCTTCTCAGTCAGTTCCGGAGCTGGGCCTTCTCAGGGTGATGAAGTGCAGGGAGGAATTCCAGTGTCAGCCGATGGGGAGTCTGGTAATTCCCCAGGGATATTCTCTTTGTTAGATGATAAAACAAATATTTAGCAACTTTAATTAAACTAAATGGCAGCATTCTTCAGAGGCCACAGGTACAATTAATGTGTCTAAAAAGGCTGTAGTGGTCAAGTTGAAGGAATATGGTTAAAATTTACCAGATAGCTGAAGAGTTGGGTAAATCACTTAAATGTGAAGGCCTTCCTCCTTTTATGTAGTCAACAGCTCTATATTCTATACTATGTCTACTTGAATAGCGATATCAGAATTACACTACTAAAGTATTATGAATGTAAAAATATTTAAAATGTATCTGAGGTTCAAGAATGAGTCAGAGACGTTGAAAATGCCAAAAAAGTTATGTCAGTATGTGATTACTATATCTAATTTCTCAATAAAAATTAAATGTTTTTCTCTTTCATACAATTGATAGTAGCCTTCTTTCTCTGAAGGAAGCAAAAAGAAAAGAAACCCGTGAACCCCTGTTACAGTGGGTAGAAATGAGCACGGAAGGGCGACCTGCACCCGTCTTCATCGAAATGTTAGAAAGATGGTCACCCTATTTTTACATTCAAAGCTTAAGACCCTCGAACTGTACATCATTCAGACTCAGGTATCTAAATATAAAAAAAATCTCTTGTTTCATAGCAGTTCCCTGATCTATTTTCTTGTTCTTCTTAATTTTTTTTCTGGAAGTCTTTTCCAGATCTGCTGTTCTCTTCCCTGAAAGATCTTAAAATTTCATACAGTATCTCACCATAGTTTAGGCCAGGGCAGCATCACGTTTTTCTGAGTTGCCAGTTCTGTTTTCCTCCAACTCCCCATTACAGCAGCAGGGCAGTGGTGCCAAGAGAAACCCCTTTCTTGAGTTCAAACGTTTTATGAAATTATTTAGAAAAATTTTCAGTCGGTCTGACTCTATCTATCCTAATAGGATGTAAATGCCTTAAATAAACAAAAACCTTGGTTATTTTGAGGGTTTATGAATATAGATGATGAGCAGTGAAAAATCATTTAACACAGCCTGTTGCATAAATAGGATGAAAAAAATGAAAGAAAATTGTAGAGAAAACGGAGGGCAGGCCTAGGAACGTTTATGAAAAGTCTGTGCTGGTAAAAATGAATGATAATGTCATGAGAAATGTTTGCACATTTCATGAGTTGGGATGTCTATAACTAGACTGAACCAAGTAAGATACGCAGGGGGAATGATCCAGCATGATGGAAATACACTAGTTGACCCGACTGGTGTTTGCGTCTTAGATTTCCCGTGAGGTGAGGACAGGTGTGAGCTGTGATGAAGTGTAGTAGGTATGCCCAGAGGACCTGGTTTCCATTCCAAGGACACATCTACTCTTTGTTCACCAGGGAAGCACCAAAGATGCTCTAAAATTTCAAGAACTAATCACTGAGTGGACCAGAAAATAGGGTGCTCTTGTTAAGGACCACTTAACTCGGTTTATATTGTTCAAAATTTAGGCTATTATATAAAGTTCACATGCACACAAAAGGGTCCATTTGATTACAAGAGTTCAGTTCAAAAAGGCAGCATGAATGTAGATTTCAAGATTTCTTAGAAGAATTGACTGTGCACAATCTGAAAGGAAACATCACTATATTTATGATTCTATTATAAACCTAGGGCTTTGAAAAGCTTTCCTTAGTTTCATAAGTATGGTTGGGTTCATAAGGGAAATTTACTTTAGAAAACAAGTCTCTGTATTTTATTTGGAACGAGGAATGAAAACCTCGCTGCTTAGCTGTTCAGGAGAAGGACTGTTTATCCTGTAAGTTTTAAATAAGCCCATGCTCTGAGCTGCTGTATGTAAGGGTTCAGACAAATTTTGTAGTGCAGCCCCCAGCAACTGAGCCCTCTCTTCGCTGCACCTTGCATCCTGGCCTCGGAGTTCAGCCTGTTACCTGTCGTCAAGCTCTTGTTCAGAGGCTGACAGATAATCTGTGAAGCACTTGTGATGGACGGAATGACTCGAATGTGCCCCCCATGGGACAAGTGGACAGCTGATTTTTCTTTTTCCTTTATTTTACCTCAAAATATTTTTTAAAACTTTGATTTTGAAATTGATCTGTTTTCTTCCAGTTCTTTGTGTTCCTATTACCGTAAGTGACCGACATTTAAAAAAACCTGATTCTGAAGAAGAGGCTACGGAAAGACAGAATTCTGGACCCCTAAAATCTACACCACGTTTTCCCTTGGCTTCCCTTTCCCCCGTCCTTTTCAGGCCCCCTCTGCCCTGCGCGGATCTTCCTGCACATTGTGACTTCCAACTGGTTCCTGGCAGGGTTTGAGGTCTGAATTCTCTGATAGCCTTAATTTAGAATCACTTTTAAAAAAAATAACCTTTCTCTTTTACAACAGCTTTATATTTACAGAATTATTGCAAAGATAGTACTGGGGGTCCCCATGGGGTCTCCATATCCAGTTTCTTCTATGATCAGCGTCTTACATCAGTTTGGTGCATTTGTCAAAACTAACGAACCAATGTTGATACATTATTACTGACTGAAGTCCATGATTTATTCATATTTCCTGTTTTCCCCTAATGTCCTTTTTCTGTTCCAGAGTCTCACCCAGGATGCCATACTACACTTAGCTGTCATGTGTCCTTAGGCTTGTCTTGGCTGGGACATTTTTTCAGATATTCCTTGTTTTTGGTAACCTTGATAGTTTTAAAGATTACTGGTTAAGAATTTTGTCAATTGTCTCTCCACTGGGGTGTCTCTGGTGTTTTCCTCATTATTAGACTTGGATAATGTTTTTGGGGAGGACGACCACGAAAGTAAAATGCCATTCGAATGCCATCGTATCAGAGATTCGTACCTCCAGCATGACTTGGCACAGTTGGTGCTGAGCTTGTTTGTTCAGCTTGGTGTGTTTCTCAGGTTAGAATCACACTTCCACTTTTTCTTGAAGATTTTGATGACACATTCATTAAAGTTCTAATGAAGCTAACTGGGACTGATCTTTGCTTTTTCTGTATTGGTGGTGGTTTAAAGACGCTGTAAGTTTCTAAGTAGACAAAAGTAATTTCAGTGGTGGTAACAACATCTTCTCTTTTTCATGCATCGTAGGTGGGAATGAGATCCCGAAACCAGGGCGGGGAAAGTTCCCCCGGTGGGCAGATCTCCTGCCCCAAGTCTTCTACCATCAGCAATGCTGATGGCAAGAGTCTCTCAGAAGACACCAGAAAGAACAGGTCCCACAGGGAGGAGGAGGACGGCGTGGCCTCAGGAACCATCAAACGGCATGTGAGACCGTCCGGAGAAGGCGAACGGCAGAGCGCGCAGTCCCTGGAGCTGTCCAAGGAGGACCTCATCCAGCTGCTCAGCATAATGGAGGGGGAGTTACAGGTAGAGTTGGATCTTCCCAACACTGTCCCTAGTCCCCAGGCCATGAAACTAGAGACCGTGAGTCTGCCCCCCTCACTGCACTGTGCCCGTCATGGGCCGGGGGGTTACATTTCTCTTATTCACCTCTGCATCCCTAATGCCTGGCACAAGTTTGCACCGAATAAATACTTGTTGAATGAACAAAGAAGTGAATAGATGCTGATTCCAACTTCAAGCTTCTAGAAACAGAACATTGCTTCATGATATGACTTTGGTAAGAATTTAACACAGGCCTCTCTTCTCAGCAGTAGGTAATCACTGAGGTTAAAAAACTCATGCGGCCATTGTTGAAAACTGTAGGAAAGTCCCGATTATTAGAAGGCAGAATTAAGATCAATCATTGCTTTTGTTTTTTTCTAGAAGGTAGAATGAGACAGAAAGATAAAATGATAGCGGGAAAGAGAGGGAGAGAGAAACAAGGAAAGAAGAAAAAGGCTTTGTTTAAATCAGCCTTGTTTCTCATATTTTGGTATCTTTCACCTTTAATTTTCTACAATGTCACTGGGGTTAAGATACACATAAATGAGCGGACTTGTTTTGTGGAGATCTAATGCTTTCACAAAGCATTGTCAAGTATGTTATTTGGATGTCATGAAAATGTGCGCATGATTGTCTCCATTTTTTGATGAGGAAACTGGGGCCCAGAAGGCTTAAGGATTTGCTCTGGTCTCATCTTTGGCCTCCTGATCCTGTGCCCCTTGCACGGGCCTTACTCACCGGCCTTCTGGGGCTCCCGAAGGCGGGGTCCCCCATTCAGTGAATGTTGTTAGGGACCCAGCAGGGAGTTGGGATTCCTGAGTTCCTGAGCCCTGGACGATTGTATTTCTGGAAGTGGGGAAACAATAACTTATTTTTGAGGAAAGGATGACTTCAGAATAAAGTTGCTGTTTTCCTTTTTGTCTTTGTTAGGCTCTTAGCTTGTATGAGCCTCTAGGGGAATAGAACAATTGCGTGGGGTGAAGCATCTGTTTGGTCCTGTTCACATCAGAGGTATTATTTGCAGCCTACCCTAAACTAGGGTGGGCTAGCCCGCTCTGATCCTGTCCACATCTGTGTGTGCGCACAGATAAGGAAACCCTGGGGTAAGAGAAATAGAAATACAGAACTCAAATTTTTAAAAACAAACAAACATGGTTGAGCTTACCATTTACGGGCTGAGAAAAATCACATTTGCATTTCACAGCAAAAGATGAAATTCTCCAGAGCACCACTATTACTAAAAATAGCTTCACCCCTCCCAGAAATGTGGTTTCGATGTTGTGCCTATTAACATTCATTGTGTAAAGAGACAGAATCTATTCATCCACTTTTGAAGCTGCCCCCAGCGGACAGCTGTGGGCCTCAGTAGGAGGTGCTGCGGCTGTCCGGGCCGTCGTCACAAAGCGATGCCACCGGCTCATCGCTCTCCAGGCACGGCGGTCTGTGTGAGGCCCGTGGCTCTTCCAGATTCACATTTCTGCAGAAGGCTGTCCTGTCACGGGGGTGCAGGGAGGTATTGAAGATTCATGTGGCTTTCATGGACATGGTGTTGTCAGAGAAGGTTCCAGAGCCTGGGCGTGCGAAATATAAGCCCACACATCCAGGGCATTAAAGAAATCAGCCAGAAGCTTCCAAAGAAAGCTTCTGATTAATGGAAGACACCCTGCCTTACACAATAGATATATTTCGGAGCAGCAATAAATAAATAAAATGTGTAAGATATTTGGGGGAGAAGCAGTGAAGGAAAAGAGAAACAAAGGACTTGGTATCCTTAGGAATTCCATGGTGCGTTCATTTGCAAAGTAAACAGTCCATCCTCCATATATTTAGACACACACGCATTATATGTATGTTACTTGTAAATGCAGATTTTGCAATCTTAGATTTGTTAGGATGAGAGTGTTCCTATGTCAGAGCTGTAGATAGATGTTCCTTAGCAGACGCCTGTCATGAGCATCACCATGTGGGGGGTATGTGTGGAAGTAAGAGGGGGAGGCAGGGGGTGTTAGCAAATCAGAGTGGGCTGCTGAAAATGTGGCAGCTATGTGCCAGGTTTGTCAGATTAGAGATACAGAACAATCTGTCTAGAATTTTGGCGCTGGGAAGGGAGGCAGGGCTCTACCTCAAGAGGTAAGTTCCCCTCTGCTCAGGCCTATGGGTCATCTGGCTTGATGTGTGGAACTTGGATAGTTGCCCCCCGACCTTCAAAGACCACTGTTGCTCTCCCTTTATGGAGCGGCGGCACGTGACTCAAAGACCCCACGGCACAGGTGTGGTCCAAGGTTTGGTGAAATACCGGGGCTGACAAGCATGTTTCGGTGTCTCCTCCATCCCCTGTAGATCAGAGACGCGCCCGAGCCCGCGCAGGGCCCCATCCAAACTCCCTCCCAGGGCACCGCCCCTCCGGCGTGGCATCTGCACCCTGGGGCTGTCCAGGGTGGGCCCAGGACCCTCATATGTGTCTTTGCCTCCAGAATTTCTTTCAAGTAGATTCATATTGTGAACACCAGGGCCAAAGCCATTTTGTGACAAGGTGAGACTTTTTTGGGTGGAGAAGTCGAGGCAGGTGTGTGTCACATCGGGAGGTAGAGCATGACCTGAGCCCCGAGGGTCACTGCGACCTGGACGGGAAGGAGGCGGGGGCAGCGCGCGGGCGCCGCACGGTCGGGCCCAACACGACACGGGCTTCGTGCTCACCGGTCCGGGAAGGTCGCCTGGGCTCCTGGGGACTGGAACCACCGGTCAGTGCGGAAGGGGGACCTGCGGAGGAAAGGGCTCACACTGGAGAACCGGACAGGGGGATGGTCCCCAGGGCCGGTGGCCTCCGTCTGTGCCGTCGGTTGTGTGAGATGTGCGAGGGTTTGCTGAGCAGACGGTGTAACCAGCGCGCCCTTCCTTCTACACTGACTGTGCGGCATCGGCGGGTCTGCTCCGGTGCGCTGGACAGTGCCGCCCTCCCCGGGCGTTTGCATGCAGGGGTCTTGTCGACGACTGGCGGCCCCGCGGTCTTTGTCCAGGGGAGGGACCCGTCCCGGGCTTTTCGGCCACCGCCTGCAGTTTCCGCGCGAGGCCTGGTGGACGCGCCTGTGCTGAACTGTCCTGCGGGCGGGGTTTCCACCACCCTTGTCCCTGGCCGCTTCCGACAGCGGGACTTTCTAATAAACGGGGACATTTTTACTCCCTGGATGAAAAACTGGTCACACATTTTCCAGACTAAACTGGAAACAGAGGCACCCAGACCATCGCTTGGGTGCCATGATCTATTTCCCCTTGTATTTGTCCAAAAATAACCTTTGAAAGAAGCCAGCCAATTTGGCTGTCCTAAAAACGACAAGAGTTCGAAGGATATGGTACTAACATCAAAAAGCCATAGTATGGAAAACTTGGCAGAAGGATATTTTTGTAAAATGATTCTAAAAGAGGATACTAATTCTTTTTCTTGGTGCAAAAAAAAAATTAACCTAATTTGTATAGGAAATTTGCTTGGTGTGTCCACTTGAATGCATTTCAGGAAAACCAGTCTCAAACTGGGTTTCACTCTCCCCTGTCCTTGTAACCAGCTCTCTTCTACCTAAGGGGGCCAGCCCCGAGACCCGGGCAGTGGGACTGCGTGGTCACCACTGCCCCCCTGGCTTCAGTTCTCTCTGGACTGAGTCCCAGGCCGTCATCCTCATGTCGGGGAACCTACCCACAGCTTGGGTCCCTGGCAGAAGAAGGTGTTGTATTTTAAAGGTAATTGTTGAAAGAGGTTAAAGGATTCTAAGATCAGAAACGAGCAGGGTCCAGGATGTAAGAAGGAGCAGAGATTTTTGGTGATGCAGTCTTGAAGGAGGGAGGGAATCAAAGGTATGTTTTGGGGGCTGACCTTGGGATTTTGACCCGAAAAAGAGGGAGGCCCTTCATCTTCTGCGACAGAGGTAGGGAGTAAGAGTGGATGGGCATGAAGAAGACGCTTGAAGCCGAGGGGTGGGCAGCTGAGGGAGATCTCCCCAAGCCTCAGTGTTCTCAGCAAGGAAAAGACAACGTTATGTTCTGCTGAAAATGAGGAGCTCTGGGCCCAGCAGCGGTGTGAAGGATGATTATGTGCACACTGCCCCGCTGCTGAGCGGGGTGGGGCAGGAAGGTGCCCGGGGACATTAGGGGCATCAGTGTGTGGAGGTAAGGAGTCCGCCTGCAGCGGCGCCCTCTGCCGGGAGGCACATGTCACAGAGACCTGGATCTAGGGGTGCAGCTGCCCAAGTGGGTGCAGTGGAAGGACAGAGTGAAAGAAGTGCACTTTGTGGGTGAAACGGTGCTCAGCAAGGAGGAGATACTGGGAGGAAGGAGCAGGCCAGTGGGAGGACCGGCAGGAGGGGCTGGACGGATGCGCAGCTGGGCCGCCTGCAGGCGCCGTCCATGTGGCACAGTCTTGGCCCTGCGTGGTCGCGGGCGGTGCTGGGAGCAGGCGCAAAGGCCCTGGAGTGTGTGAGATGAACTGTGTCTGAAACAATCAAACTGTGCATGCCTTTTTTTACCCACGGAACGTAAATTCCCAGCTTTGAGTTCTGTGTATGAAATACTGAGGATCCTGGCAGCATAATAGGAGTGTGACAGGCTGAACAACAGAGATCACCAGTGATGATTCCACGGGTGACTGGTTGCAGTGCCATTGTTGAGCTGGTGGTTGAAAACTTTGAAAAGTGAAGTAAAATCTTCCCCTTAGGTGCATTTTTCTGGTTTTTGCTATTAATTTATATAAAATGTTTTTATAGTTATCACATTTCTCTAGTGCTAAGATGCAGAGCTGTGTATCTAGACCACAGGGAATTTGAGCTGAGGTGTCACCATACAGGCACCGTTTACAGCTGCTGGCAGCTGACATAGTTCGCAGATTCCTGGACTAGCCTTTCACCTCTTTTTCATTCCCTCCTCGCTTCTGATCAGTTCCTGTGACACTCCTGAAAGTCAGTGGCCAAAGACTTAGTAAAGAATGGTCCATTTTC